CCCGGCTCCAGCCCCGGCGTGGCCTCGCGTGGCTTCGCCCTGCCGCGCCTGGCGAGGGCGCCTTGTCCGGGTTCTGTGGATGAGAAACAGGTGCTGCCCGCTTGCTTTCCGCCTGCCAGCGATGCCAAGTGGGTCCTGCCCAGTTGTTAGAAAGCAGCTGCTGCAGTTTGGCCTTAAGTGCCGTCACTTGCTTAGGAATGGGACCCCAGGGACTTCCCGTGGATTTCCGTTAGGAGGGCAACAGTGTAACGTGACAGGTCGGAGAAACCCACATTATGTAAAAGGGGGCGTGATTTTCAACCTTTGGTGCACTCTATGGAAAGGCTATTAAAAATCCCGATGACTGGCCCCACCCCAACCTATTAAGTCATAATTTCTGTCATTACTGTCATGCCAGCAGTGACATAATAGGAAAACGTAAGTCACTGTAAAGCAAGTTTGTGTATATGTAGCTTTCCAGCGTCTGAGTTGACTCGATTACCCAAGTGTTGCATGTTCTGAGCTTCAGGTAAATCCTCATAGGAAACCATCTTCGAACCTGACTTCTGATAAGATCAACAGGAATTCTGAGGTTGTAATCCGTAGTGGAACAGATAAACGTGTTGTCTGGGAAAGGTGATCTCTTTTACACCAACAGAACCAAAGATATAACAGTGTTCTCTTGTGAAAATCTGTCAGGCAATGCGCAGGGGGTATGCTGAGGAAGACCTGCAGGCAGGCTGTGGTGTTATACAGAAGAGTTGGGTTTCCCAGAATGATCTTCAACGTACTGTTTTCTCTTTCATACTAAATTTTAACTAAATCTAACGTTGGTCGGGGATTCTCCAGCCTGATACCTAGGTTCTTGACCCACCTTCAGTGTTGTCCCCTGACTGGTATGTCTCTGAGCATAAATCGAAGCTGCCAGTTTGTCCAGGAACCTCTCTTGTGTTAACGAAATTATTCTAACCAGCACTTCTTAGCAATTTATATTTTTCTTTTCTCTGGATTTGCTGTTGGGAACTCTAACTTTCAAGATGTTGTTAAGCCTCTGTTTAACATAAATATACCACTTAGTCTTCAGGACTAGTTTGACAGTATGAGTAGGTTTATTTCTGATTATGTTTTTAAAATAATGTAAAGGTCAGAAATCCACAAGAGACCAGTACATAACATAAAATAGGCCTGAGAAAAAGTATGTTTGAACCAATACAGGTTTTTTTTTGTTTTGTTTTGTTTTTAATATTTTATTTTTTAGTTTTCGACAGACACAACATCTATGTATGTGGTGCTGAGGATCAAACCCGGCTGCACGCATGCCAGGCAAGCGCGCTACCACTTGAGCCACATCCCCAGCCCCCAATACAGGTTTTGATAGTTAAACCTTCACATGGACTTACGTATTTCAGAATACTAGTATCCTCCTTTGCCTAGAAATTAGGTGAAGTAATTTGGTTTTCGTCATTCACTTTTCAGTTTTCTTTTATCTGAAGACAGCACAATATACTCAGGATCTCTTTCTGAACTTAAATGTAGTGCAGTGAAAGATGAACATTTCAAAGATTCCTTCAAAGTCACTGGATCAACCTTTTTAAGCAAGAATTAAATTGTTTCAGAACCATCACTATTTTTGTTTTTATTTTTTCTTTTCAAACAGCTCACTTTGCTGATTATTTGTTATAGTACTGGAGATTGAACCCAGGGCCTCACACATGCTAGGCAAGCACCAAGCTACATCCCCAGCGCTTTTTATTTTGAGTCAGGGTCTCCCTCCAACTTGAGCTCCTGCTGCACCTCCCTCGTGGCTGAGATTACAGGTGTGTGCTGCTGCACCTGGCCATTCCCTTTCTAACCAGAGTGCCAGTAGCCCTTGGACATCCACTGTCTTGGTGGAAAGGAGTCCATTTTCTTTAATGAAAGTAGCCAATGTGACAAAATAGACATGCCTGTATTGTGGTGCCCCAGAGTGGCAAATCTATACCCTTAGCCTGATTACTGCCTGGAAAACTCTTCACACTTTATTCTTGATACTTGATGTTATCAACGTGTTTGGGAGGAGAGAGAGGCAAGAGAGAAGCCTGGGGACTTGGGCTGGCCAGGAAGTTCTCTGTGGCTTTAGGGGTGTCCTCAATCAGGAACATGCAATCCCTTTCTGGTCTAAAGCTATTTCTAAGTATGTCTGATCGATCCACTTTCTTATATTCAGTGGAAATTTTCATTGTTTTGGTTACACTACTTGCATCATTCTGATTTCTTTCCTCAGTTTTTATTTCCCAGGTTATGATAATCTTTTGTTCCTACCCCATTCATTGTTGTATGGTTCTTATTTTAATATTCCTTTCATAATGTAAATGATTAACAAACCCTTCTGAAGGATAATGGGAAAGAATGGGGGGATTGAATTGTAAGCTGGAAGGAATTTGCTGCTTTTTGGGTTTATGTGGGTTCTTAATCTCCATGTTCTATGTCATTGCTTTAAGGAAATTTGAAGTATCCTAATCCAACCTTGCCTGCAGTGGGATCCATGGAGAAATGGGAGCTATGATGATTTGGGATGAAAGCTAAAGTGATCCAGAAAAAGGAAGAGTGGGAGTAAATAGGCCTTTCTTGACTGCTAGAGATTCTTTGTTCCTTGGGTTTAAGAACCTATTAAGCAGCAACATTATATTTTTAAAACATGGCCCAGAGGATATTATATTATGCTCATTCTAGTGGTTTGCTCTTAATGTGCCAACTTGCTTTGTAGACAACATTTTGCAAAGACTACAGATTTTCACTTTAGAGTAAGATGACAAAGCAAACTAGCTTTCTTCTTGGTTGCTTTCTGTAAAGGTGATCTGGCGCTGGACAGCAATTGCTACCGTCCTTACAAACCTTTCCCTTTATCCTTTACAACTATGTCCCTCCTTTTCCCTTTTCTTTTGTATGTATATTTTTCCATATTTTTTAGAACAATTGGTGATTGTTTTTAACTTTTTTTAGTTGTTAGTAAACCTTTATTTCCATATTGTTTTTGGATTGTTTCCTCTTGTAGATAATTTTTCAAATTCTGTCACTTAAAATATTTCTATGTGAAGTTTTTTTGTAGACTTTTTTTCGGTCATGCACATAAAAGATGCAGTACCATATCTGGTAAGTTATATATAGATAAGGTGGTTTATACATAAACACCGCTTTCTCACTGTGGTTCTTGTTTTGTTTTGTTGTTGCCATTTCTCATCTCCCCAGCCTACCCAAGATCTTACTGTTTCAGGACCAGAATGGGAAGAAGGTTCAAAAACCGAGTGGACTACTGTGATGGGGGAGCTGAGGAGTTGGCCCCCATAAAGCTCAGGAGCTATACAGTGTTAGGTGATTACTGTGGCCTGTAAAATGGCAGGAAGAGTGGGAGTAAATAGGCCTTTCTTGACTGCTAGAGATTCTTTGTTCTTTGGGTTTAAGAACATATTATGGAGCATAATATAAAATATAAAAATATAATGTTGGGGTTATTGATATCCAATATGACTGTCTTTAGTGGCTTCATTGCCACAAGATATAGTTTTAGCTTAGGGGGCCACTTGAATATGTGTAGTACAGTGCCACAAGTTTATATTGGACATTTACTTTTTTCAGAATATTCCTAAATGCAACAGAAGACACAAGTAAATCCCTGCTCATGAAAAGGTTTATGAAATTATAATTACAGCTCAAGCATCCAAAATCTGAAATGCCTTGAAATCTGGTAAATTTTTGAGTACCAAAATGATGCTCAAAAGTTTTATATTTTAGAACATTTTGGATTTTCAGATTAAGTATGCTCAACTGCTGGAGTGTATACAAATATTTAAAAATCTGAAACACTTTGATTCCAAAGCAATAAAAGAGTAATCAGAGAAGATAAAGGGACCTAGAAAGTGTGTAGTTAGGGACTTTGTCCTGGACTTGGGTCATACTGTTAGGCTGTTACAAATGTTTGGGTGAAGTAATGACATGACTAAAGCTGTATTTTGAGAGAGATGAATCTGGCAAAGTCTGAATGATAAAGACATATTTAGAGGTTAACAACACAGTCCAGAGTCAGAAGACTTCAACCAGGAATAGAGAGAAAGGAACATCTGGGAGGTGGAAATAGTGCTTGAAGAGGGTGAGTTTGTGGTGTGGACACAGGAGGGAGTTTGAAAGAAAAGGGTTGCTTTGCACCTCTGAGGATGTATCAGAAGTTTTGAAGTGGGCCAGTCATCAGTTTATGGAGCATGTGACAGCCTAGAAGCTGGAATATAAATGGTAAAAGATTTCCATAAAAACAAAACACTAGATGAATTGGTGAGTGAAATGAAGTTGGGGATGAGGGACAATGTCAGTTGTTATTAGAGCCAGCAGATTTGGTGTTCAAGAAAAGCATGGGCAGTTAGACTTGACCAATTGAATAGCTAAAGTACCACTTTAGTTTACTGGTGTTGAGTTGGTTGGCATAATAAAGCAAAGAAGGAAAGGAAAGCCTCTGCCACCAGTGGCCAGAGCCAACATTAATTGCTTTATTGTGCGGTGAACACTGTTCTAAGCCTTTCTGTGTGTTAGCTCATTCCCCACAGCGACCCCCAAATGCACATTGTTGTTACTCCCACTTTGTAGATAAGTAGACCAGCCAGTTTAATTTGCTCTAGTTACATAAAGTGGCCAGGTAGAGAGTTGAAATTACAGCAGGCCAGCTCCAGAACTTCCAGACGTACAGCTACATTGTAGTTCTTATCCCAGACTGCACACTGGGCTCATCCAGCAAGGTTATAAAACCAAATATGGGTTCCAATCCAGTTCCAAGACCAGAAAACCTGGGGCTGAGTCCAGGCACTGGTGGTTCTCAGGGCAGGGACCAGCCCTGCACCCACCCCCACCTCCAGTGCACTGCATGCAGCAGGTGGCCTGCTGTCTTCTATAAGGAGGAAGATGGCTCCAAGAGGTGTGTTAAATTTCTGACTTTAAAAGGCTTAGTCTGGTGGGCTGGGGATGTGGCTCAAGCGGTAGCATGCTTGCCTGGCATGCGTACGGCCCAGGTTCGATCCTCAGCACCACATACAAACAAAGATGTTGTGTCCACCAAAAACTAAAAAAATAAATAAATAAAATTTTTAAAAAAGGCTTAGTCTGGGAGACAGGAACTATAGAAAAAATGACAGCTCTTAAGGTAGCATAGGTGCTCTCTTGGAATTCTGAGAAAGATCTTCAGGGTGGTGACAGAACAAGGAACTGGACAGTCTAGAGCACTGAGCTGGGCTGGGCCCATGCTAATCCAGACACCTAAGCTACAGGTAATCCTGAGAAGCAGGTCCCCTCTGTTTTAGAAATGAGTAAACACTGGCTCTGAGGTTAACTACCTTCCCAAGATCACACTAGTCAGTAATGGAAACAGTCCAAACCCAGCCCTCTCCAATGCCACGTGCACTTCTACCTGATTTCTGTCTGAAGGTAGAAGAAGGGTATGGGGCTCAAATTGAATCTTCAAAGAAGGAGACTCATCCAAGAATGGATATAGTGGGTCCAACTGGAGGTGGGCAAAGCATTAGACTGAGTGGGACAGTGTTTGAGAAAGGGAACAGGAAGGGCATCAGCAAGTTCAAAAGGGCCAGCCTCAGCAACTTGGCAAGACCCTCTCCCAAAAAAGAAAAAGGGATGGGAATGTAGCTTGGTGATAAAGCACCACTGGATTCAATCCCAGTGCCACCAAAAAAAAAAAAAAAAGGATTAAGTGAGGGGCTGGGGCTGTAGCTCAGTGGCAGAGCACTTGCCTAGCATGCATGAGGCACTGAAGCTAAAGCACTAAGAAGAGTCTGGGTCCGATCCTCAGCACCACATAAAAATAAACAAAATAAAGGCATGCTGTCCATCTATAACTATACAAAATTAAAGAAAAAAAAGGATTAAGTGAGTTGGTATGTAGTCAGTGCTTAGAACTGAGCCTGAATCAACAGTTGTGTAAAGGTCTCAACTAGTTTTTTGGTACTTTAGGGGGCAGTGCAATGATCAGAGAAAGACAAAATGCCATTGAATGGGGGTCCCCAGACCCTAGTCAAACGAAGTTTTTTTCAGGGACTTAAGACAAGGAATCTTGGGGTAGAATAATAAAGAAGACCAAAGGTGACACCCCAATCTTGACTATGAGTAACTGTGTGAGTCCATTTGCAAAAGAGAAGCTAGCTGCAAGAATATGGATTTTAAGTTTTGAAGAATTTTAAAGGGATAGAGAGAAGTCAGGTTTATATTTTATTTTTTAAGAAAACAAAGTTGGGGAAAAATTTACAATTTATTGAGAATAATAATTTACATGCCATAAAATATATTTAATTTAAATGAATAACTCAGTTATTTTAGTAGATTTATGGATGTGTAAACCCATCACCACAATCCAATTTTAAAACATTTTCCACTCCCTAAAAAGAATGCTTGTGCCCATTTTCACATATTCCCTTATTTCTACAACCAGCCTGTTCTGTTGTGGGTGTTTTGAAAATAATTTTTTAATTTTCCTTTTGCAGGATGGCATAGTAAATCCAACAATAAGAAAAGATTTGAAAACCATACCAAAATTCTACTGTTGTCCAATTGAAGGATGCCCTAGAGGTCCTGACAGACCATTTTCTCAGTTTTCTCTCGTAAAACAGGTATTTCACTTAATATATTTCTCTGAAGATGATATACAGATGGTATAAACCTAGTATGCATTCTAATTACTTAGCAAACATTACCAGAGAATTGAGAATAAGCTCTTGCTAGAGCTGCTGCCCCTGTACCTCCCAAGTGGTAGGTACAAGGGTTAAGTGTGGGTGTAATTCCAGTGGACAGAAACGAGGCTTATCTTGGAGGGAACATTACCAGGAGTGGGTTGGAGAGGAAGAGAAGTACCTCTCCATAAAAGAGCAAGAATATTTGTGCTCATAGTTCTCTTAGGTGAATCTGCTTCCAAGGGCTTAGGGCAAAGACACAAAGCCACTGTCCTCCCAAGGGAGTGAGAACCTGCAGAATCCAGGAATAAAACAATTTCAGGAGCAGCTATCTTAAGAGGAGGGAGGGGCCCAGCCACTAGGGAAAGAGGTATTTGGGCCTGGAAGAAAGCTCTGGAATGTTTCCTCAGGAACTGCTGCAGGATGTCCAGAGGAGAGCATCTTAAAGACTTTTGTTTTCCCTGCCCTGCAGCACTTCTTTGTAGGTCAGTCTCAAGGCCAGTACCCTGGATCCATTCCAAAGTAGTTTCCTCTGTGCATGAAGCTAAAGCCCTAAGAAGAGTCTGGTGATAAACTGCAGTTACCTTGTTCTTTTCTTGAGGGTGGACTGTTCTGTTTGTACCTGTGAAGTCACTGTTAAGCTGGGTGTGTTGATGTTCTCAGGACTTGGTGCCGTGGCTGTTTCTCACCCTCCTTCCTTCTTTGCTCTCTGTAGCACTTTATGAAAATGCATGCCGAGAAGAAGCATAAATGCAGCAAGTGCAGCAATTCCTATGGTACCGAGTGGGACTTGAAAAGGCACGCAGAGGACTGTGGCAAGACCTTCCAGTGCACATGCGGCTGTCCCTATGCCAGCAGAACGGCATTACAGTCTCACATCTACCGAACTGGTCACGAGATCCCTGCAGAACACAGGTAAAGAGCAAAGAAACAGTGGCACATAAGTCAGTAGCTGTGGAGGAGTTTCATCTGAAACTTCCTGGAGAACTAACAGTACAAGGAGAGGAAAAGGAATGATGGACAAGCAATGTGACATCAAAGAAGGGAGCTTTTGGAAATGGCAGCAGTGCTAGCAAAGGATTGTATCTGGTCCTGGGATCTGACCCAGTTATTCCTCCTTTTTCTATTGCCAACTCTCTGAGGGTCTCTTACTATGCCCATTTGAAATCTCAATTTCCACCATCTTCTGGTAAGGAATATCAGATTGCTGAAGAGTAAGTTTTATCATGACTCTGTACTACTATATATTTTTATTTATTTATCTGTAGATGGACACAATGACTTTATTTTTATGTGGTATTGAGGGTCAAACACAGTGCCTCACGTGTGCTAGGCGAGCACTCTACCACTGAGCCACAACACCAACCCTGTACTTCTTTTTGAGGGAAGGGAAAACTAGGTCTTTAGAAATTTTTTAATGGAACATCTTGCCAATCAGTGGTGCATGCCTATAATCCCAGCAACTTGGGAGGCTGAAGCAGGAGAATCTCACGTTCACAGCCTGTCTCAACAACTCAGCAAGTCTCAAAATAAAAGTTAAAAAGGGCTGGGGAGGTAACTCAGTGGTAAAGTGCTCCTGGTTTCAATCCCTAGTACTTAAAAAAAAAAAAAGTAAATTTCTATTTGTTGTAATAGCTTCCAACTTTATGGATGATGAAACTTGTGTTATGTATACCATACCTCCTTATGGTTAAATTCTAGTACTTACAGCATTAAAAAAAAAAAAAATTATGCTTTCTTCTTCCCTATCTGCATGTTTCTGAACATCTGCCCCATAATAAGCCCCATTCCCAGAAGTTCAAGAAGGGAATAGTCTTCTTCAGGTGGGGTCTGACCTGTGATAAGGGCAGTAGCATGTATCATTAAGACATAGTGTCATGGTCTAAGAAAGCTGCATTTTCACCCCCAGTATTGAGGCTTGAATCCAGAGCCTTTCACGTGCTAGACTAGGCTGGCCTCAAATTTGCAATCATCTCTAGACCTAAACCTCCCAAGTAGCTGGGATTACCTCACCCAGCTCAGAAAGCAGCATTTTAAAATTGTTTTCTTTTTGCTTTGTCATTGTCTTTAGGGATCCACCTAGTAAAAAAAGGAAAATGGAAAACTATCTACAAAACCAGAAGTTATCTAATAAGACCATTGAACCATTGAGCACTCAACCCCCTCCTCGACCAGATCCTCAAGAACTAGAAACTTCAGAAATAAAATTAGTAAATCCTTTTGAAGATTCTTGCAGCTCTAACGCCAGAAAACAGAGTGTCACAACACCTCCGAGATATCCTCAGAAGTTGCTTCTACCAAAGCCCAAAGTGGCTTTAGTTAAACTTCCAGTCATGCAGTTCTCTCCTGTGCCTGTCTTCGTGCCTACAGCCGACTCTTCGGCCCAGCCTGTGGTGTTAGGTATGGATCAGGGCTCCACTGCAGGTGCTGTGCACTTAGTGCCCTTGTCAGTAGGAACCCTGATCCTTGGCCTAGAGTCAGAGGCTTGTTCTCTTAAGGAGAGCCTACCTCTTTCAAAAATTATAAATCCTGTTGTTGAGCCAGTTAGTACCGGTGTTCAAGTGAACTTGGGTAAAAATCTGTCTAATCCTTTACAAGAACTAGGGAACACGTGTCAGAAGAACAGCATTTCTTCAATCAATGTACAGACGGATCTGTCCTATGCCTCACAAAACTTCCTACCTTCTGCACAGTGGATTGGCCCTGATTCCTCTGTATCATCTTGTTCTCAGACTGATCTGTCATTTGATTCTCAAGTGTCCCTTCCCATTAGTGTTCACACCCAGACGCTTCTGCCCAGCTCTAAGGTAACTTCATCTATAGCCGCTCAGACTGATGCATTTATGGACACTTGTTATCAGCCAGGTGGGATCTCCAGAGAAACCCAAACCAGTGAAATGCAAAGTCCCACACGTGGCCAAGTACAGATGGACCAAGCTGGAATGTGCAGAGACATTTTTGAGAGTGTCCATTCATCATACAGTGTCCCTGCAGACACTATTATAAGCAGCAGCTTAGTAGCAGAGACAGTAACTCGTGGTTTGTTACCTCAGAATGACCCTAAGACTTTAAATCAAGATATTGAGAAATCTGCACCCATTTTGAGCTTCAGTGCACAGAATAGTATGCTTCCTTCACAGAACATGACAGATAATCAGACCCAAACCATAGACTTATTAAGTGATTTAGAAAATATCTTGTCAAGTAATCTGCCCGATCAGACATTGGATAACCGTAGTCTTTTGTCTGACACAAACCCTGGGCCTGACACTCAGCTGCCATCTGGCTCAACCCAGAATCCTGGAATAGATTTTGATATTGAAGAGTTCTTCTCAGCTTCAAATATCCAGACTCAAACTGAAGAGAGTGAACTTAGCACCATGAACACTGAGCCAGTCTTGGAATCACTGGACATAGAGACCCAAACTGACTTCTTACTTGCAGACACATCTGTCCAGCCCTACGGGTATAGGGGAAGTTCTCACTTCCTAGGCCTTGAGATGTTTGACACGCAAACGCAGACAGACTTAAACTTCTTTTTGGACAGTAGCCCTCATCTGCCCCTTGGCAGCATCCTGAAACACTCCAGCTTTTCCATGAGCACTGATTCATCAGACACAGAGACCCAAACTGAAGGAATCTCCGCTGCTAAAAACCTATCTGCCCTAGAGAGCAAAGTTCAGTTGAACAGTACAGAAACACAGACCATGAGTTCAGGTTTTGAAACCTTGGGGAGCTTGTTCTTTACCAGCAATGAAACTCAGACAGCAATGGATGATTTTCTTCTAGCTGATTTGGCCTGGAACACGATGGAATCTCAGTTCAGCTCTGTGGAAACTCAGACATGCGCCGAGTTGCACGCAGTCTCCAACTTCTAAAGGTGAAGTCCGGGTTGGATGGTGTTTATTATTTCCTTCCAGATTTAGATAATGGGAGCAGGGACAACAGTATTAACTCTGTTGAATGTAGCTGATGATGCAGTTGCTTAGATTCTTTGCAGTTCTTTGCCTTTTGTACTTGTAAACACAAATTTGTGTATAAATGTGAGTGTATTATAAAGTGTAAGATGTTGATCTAAAAATGATTGTTCTTGTGTTGCATACATTTGCCCTTTTATAGCAAGTCTTTCCATCTTTAAAACTATATCTTGTTCCTATAAAACCAATACAGCCATTTAGCTGAAGCCAAGCTTGCAAGGTAGTAGAGTGCAAACTTACCAAATCTCCAAAATGTTTTAGCAAAGTGTAACATACTTAAATTGCACCTAAAATGTCTTCTAGAAAATGCTTCTGTGGTTGGAGACTCCTGTTGCTGCAGCTTCATCTGCTTTGCCATCTCTCTTCTGATTTGAAGACACCAAGGGAATTTACAGCTGTCTTCAGCTTTTGCAAGTTTCCATGTAGTCACTGCCATCTCACCACTCATGAGATATTACTGATGCTAACATGCGCGAACAGTCCTTTCCTCACAAGAGGTTTGTTGCTGTGAAATTATTACTGCCTAGAGAAAGGGCAGCAAGCACTTAGTGTAAATAGTGATAGAAGTACTACATCCAGACTATGGAGACACGGTTGTTAAATCATGCCTGTTAGTTCATCCTGGGGTGTGTGGTCCTGTGCTTTCATACCACCATCAATCCAGAAGCCTTCTGTGCCCAGATGTGTGGGATTTTCCCCATGTACCAGCAAGCAGCTCTGCAGCAGATGCCACTTGGGTGTCCTCTAATGCTCTTCAATTCTGACACTATCTGGAGTCCAGGCCTCCAGAGTGTCTAACCCAGCACTTATAAATTGGGGTTGCCACAGTCTCCTCCCTGGGTTCAATTTATTCATGAGTGGCTGGCAGAACTCAGGGGAACATCATATTTACTGGTTATTGCAAAGGATACAAATGAAGAAATGCTCAGGGTGAGGTATGGGGGAAGGAACTGGCTTCCATGCCCTCACTAGGAGAGCCGTCTTCCAGGAATCCAGGTTTGACTATCTGGAAGCTCACTGAACCCAGTCTTTTTGGGCCTTTATTGAAACTTCAAGGGTATGATTGATGAAATCACTGGCCGTGATCAACTTAACTTCCAGCCTCCCTCCCCTCCCAGAAGGTAGAGGGTTAAAGCAAGGTAAGGCTGAAGATAATCCCACCCCTCTAATCATGTCTTTGCTGTGATGAGTCCTCATTGTAAAGCTACCTAGGGGCTGCCAGCTACCAATGATCTCATTAGCACACAAAAAAATTGCTGGAAATAACAAGGATTTTAGGAGTTGTCTACTACCAGGGAGGGAGAACAAATATGAATATTACCACATCTATAAACACCCTTCCCGCATTCCACAGCAGACCAAAGTGGGGCACCAGAACTGCTTCCCACCATGCACCTCACCTACAGGCTGCATCTGACTTGTCCTCAATGTTAAAGTAGGGAAAGAGAGGACACTACCCCTCAAACCCAGATTTCAAAACTTTATACTTCTGAGCTTGATAGGGCGAGAGTGCAATCTGCAATTATTTTAAAGTTACTTTTCCTTCCATCCACCACCCATCTTTTCCTTGAATAAAGAAACACAGGTCTAATAAATATATCATTTGTGTCTTGAGGCTAGCAATTACAGAATAAACTATCAAACTTGCTTCAGTAATCAAGAATATTTTCTATTTTGAGACAAGGACAGCATCAAGTATGCTTTGGGGGTTCTCTGGTTAGTAGATCCTGTTTTGTTTTGTTTGTTGATTTTTTTCTTGGAATTGGGGATTAAACCCAGGGGCACTTAACCACTGAGTGACATCCCCAGTCCTTTTTATTTTTGCTTAGAGCCTCACTATGTTGCTGAGGCTGGCTTTTTTTTTTTTTTTTTTTTTTTTTTTGAACTTGAGATTTTCCTGCCTTAGCCTCCCAAGTGGGTAGGAT